AATAACTAGTATGTCTTGGATCTTTTTTTTGCCTAGCATAATACCATATGATGAAGAATAGTACTTGTATGACTCTAGTCATGACATAATGATTAACTTAATCATTTGTCATTGCTTGATTATCTCTGCAATCCTATGCTGTTATTCCATTGTGTACCAAACTTCTTTCTTTTCCTCTTTTCCTTCCATTATTTTGACAATTAAAATGTATGAATAACAAAAAATAATGTATAACTAAAATTTTAGAAAAGTATGTAGAACATATGCATGCATATGTATGTGCCTGTATATACACATACACAACATATGAATATAGATTGTTACCTAATCTTTTGAATATCTGAAATAGGACAACTTTTTCAGTTGAAGCAGATACTTCTAAATATTTTATTAGTAATGAATAGTTCTGTTCAATCAGGAAATCCCAGCAGATTAGATGAAGGATGGGTGATTTAAAATTGTTGCCTACAATACATTAAATTAAAAAAAAATTGGGGTGTCAATCATGATTTCAAATTAGGTAGAAAAGCATATTGACATTTAAAGCTTTTATAATGGACTTGTTCAACAAAGGTTTCTGTTGTTTCCTGTGCCTCATTAAACAGCTCACTTTGTACTTTGTTGGTCTCATTTCAGCTCATCATTTCCCAGCAAATTTTACTTCAAACTATTCAGAATTTCATGCTCATTTATATGTAATAAGACTATTTCCATAAGTAAATTATAGCATTACTGGAGATTCTTTAGAAAACTTTTTTCAAATGCCAAACTTTCATTGGGAGAATTTTGAATGGTGGAGAGGAAATGCCATTCAAGTTTAGTTCTCACTGTCAGCCAGACTGCAGTTCACCATCATTTGAACTCAGACAGTAATTCATGCAGACCTGTTCTGGGTCACCCCGGTGGCAATAGCTTTCTGATTGTTCTTCCCTTTGGATCAGAGTCAGCAATAGGCATTAAATTAGTACAGTGACACCAAGAGAGAGAGCTCAGTCTGAGTGGTCCAGATAGTGTTGAACAGCATACTAGATTACCTTGACCTCCAGGGCTTGGTAAAGATGTGGGGACTCCCTGAGTTGCATGTTTAAATTCTCATAACATGGGAGCTACAGCCTGAACTAAATAGAATCATCCCTGTTTTATTTTCACTCTTTAAAACATATGGGAAGGTAGAGCAAGAAGGATATTTTTGTTGAGCCTGAGCTGATTGTATCTCACTGTAATTCTGAGGCTATGCTTTTTTGAAAGTATAACAATATTAGGAAATGATCCACATTTGGTAAAATTTATTTTCTGTAAGAAAAAAGTGAAAATAAAAATACCATAATATCAGATGATCAACCGTTCACCTGCTAAATGATAGATTCAACCCATAGAAACAAATAACCTGGAGCCAGGTTACCAAAAGGACTTATCTCAACTTTAAACTAAACTTTAAAGCCCTACCCCAACAAGTTGTTATATTAGATAACCCTGAGCCATTCTACCAATGGAATATCTTTTGTAGATAGGAATGCTACCATCTTTCTTTCAATCTTTTCATCACCAAATGAAAAGTCTCTTCTGCCCTGGTCATATTATACAGAATGTCATATCTCACACTGGACACTGCAGTTTAGAAACAACATTAATAAATCAGAGTGTGCCTGGAGGAAACAACAAAGATGATAAGCTGTCTTTAAAAAGGAACCAAAAAAGATGAATAGTTGGTATGATTACCCTGGAGAAGTGACTGCAGAGAGACATTAAACCCTTTTCTGAAGAGTTATCATATAGAAAGTGGATTAGACACATTAAGTGTTACTTTAAAACAGGGGTCCCCAAAGTTGGCAATTTTAAGACTTGTGGATTTCATCTTCTAGAATTGGGACTTGAAGTCCACAAGTCTTAAAGTTGCCAAGTTTGGAGACCTCTGCTCTAAAAGTTAGGAGACATGTCTATAATATTTATCATATTCAGCCATTCAGCCAAAAACAGTTATATATTTTACTATTTCCCTTAGGCAAACTCTACAATTTCTTAATTACTGGGCAGATATTTTTCTAACTAACTAACTGAATATTCAATAGTATTTCTTTCTTGAAAGGAAGATTTATTTCTGATTTAAATACTGTGTAATTAGTTAATAAGGTGGCTTTCTAAACAAACAATATTTGGGAGTAAATAGAAAACCTTGAATTACGCCGTCTTCGGTCTGACTTAAGCATGGTATATAAAATCATACATTGCAATGTCCTACCTGTCAATGAATACTTCAGCTTCAACCATAACAACACAAGAGCACACAATAGATACAAACTCAAAGTTAACCGCACCAAACTTGATTGCAGGAAATACGACTTCAGCAATAGAGTGGTCAATGTCTGGAATACTCTACCCGACTCTGTAGTTTCTTCCCCAAACCCCAAAAACTTTAACCTTAGACTGTCTACTATTGACCTCACCCCTTTCCTAAGAGGTCTGTAGGGGGCGTGCATAAGCGCACCAATGTGCCTACCGTCCCTGTCCTATTGTTTCTCTTATTCTTTTATTTTTCTTATATGTACCCATTTCATGTATTCACAACTATGTATACACTTATACTTATTATCTTGTAAACAATTGGCAAATCAAATAAATAAATAAATAAATAAATAAAAATTGCCAACATATTGAAATATAAAAAATGCATATCACTGGATTTTTAGTTATGGGTGTATCAGTTAAAGATGCTGCTGTCATAAAAAAAAATCCCAAAGTGAAGGAAACATAGAAATAGGCTTATGAACATAGAAAAAAACAAAACAAAATAAAATTATCACATTCTCTGTATTTTTTATTACTTACCTGATTCTTTATGTGTATGTGTGTGTGTGTGTTGTATTTGCATAATCTTAAAATGTTCAGTTAAAAATAAGAAGGCAACAATTCAGCTAACTAAAATCCTTATTATAGAAATCCAAAGGGCATGCCAAATTAAATGTATGGATTAGAAAAGAGAGAAGAGGAGTGGGGGAAAAGAGAGAGGAGAGGAGCTAAAAATACCTAACTCATTCTACAATAATGTCATTTTTTTTCTATTGCTCTACATCAGGGCTGTAAAACTCCCAGCCCATGGGCCGGATGCATCATGCACTGGCCACACCCACGCCTGGTTAAGCGAAAGGGAAAAAGTCCTGATATGCCACATAATGCCACTATTTTGACATGAGTTTAACACCCCTGTTCTACATGATAGGAAATCCATGTTTGACATTACCTGGTACCAAAGATGGCAGAGAAAGAAGTTATTTGTCCCCACTCTCTCTACTATATGTGCAATAACTGAAGCTTGTGAAGTTCAAGCTGGTTCTACTTAGAGCAGAGACCACTGTATAAAATCTAAGCAGATGCACTCCATTCTCAACAATGGGATAAGAATGGCTAAGATCACAGGGCAGAAGGAAAAAACTGCAGGTAGATTAAATAATTGGATCTGTCATATATAGATAATTCTCACATGGGACCAGCATCTTTGTCATTGAGCAAAGTGGTTGTTGAGTGAGATACTCTTATGACTGCTTCACTCAACGATTGCAGTTCCAACGTTCCTCCTTGTGGTTGTTAAATGATCACATGGGTCATTAAACAGAGTCCATCTCTGTGCCTGTGGAATGATTTGGAGTTCTTTGCGTGCTTCAATTTCAGCAGGTGAAATCTAAGCAGGCATGAAGCAGTAGAATTTTCTTTCATCCTGTCAACAGAGACAAAAGGGAGTCCTGTCAGCAGGCAGTAGCAGTTTGCAACTTTACCTGATGGTTTTTCAATGATTTTCTAAGGAAGCCAGCAAATAAGATTGCAAGATCGAGGGGTACGGGACATGTAGTCTTATGTACAAGCATGCTGCCAAGCACGCAGATCGTGATCACATGACTGAATGGGTGGGATGTGGGGGTGACATATTGCAACAATTAGAATTAATTTACAGGTTGTAAAGTATGCTTTCCAAGAATTTTGTAATTTTTAGTGACCAGTCGTTAAGCAAGGATGACCTGCGTAAGACTTGATTTCTGTGTTTTGCAACATACCACTAATGTATACTTGAAAATCCTGAGCTATTCAGCTTATTTTTATGTTTGATATTCCTGTTAGATAAAGATTCTACAATAAGATACAAGTTGCCACATTTACATTTCTAGCATTTAAAATACTAGGCCATTTAGCTAATATATAGAGGAGAAGGAGAAATATAAACAATGCAACATTATTTTTCTCCTTCTGCTTTTTTAGTCTAAACAATTTAAGACCTGGTTTATTAAAATAAAGGTGTCGTGTCCGTCGCGGGAAGGAAGCTCAGAGTCAGTGACTTGGTTTCAGCTCTTTATTGGCTCCGGATACAGCTTAAACTTGGAGAGGAAAAACTGCGGCTTTTATTTTCGAGCCGCGTCGGCCGCGGCCAATGGCACCGCTTCGAATCTCCCGCGATTAGTTTCCACCAATCGCGGGGGATTCGCAACGGGCCAATCAGTGCGGCTCGCTCGACCAATCCGGTCGCCGCGCGCTTTAGCCAATCGCGACGCGGGGCTACGAGTATGTAAATTTACTGTACAGAACACCCCTCCCCTCTTGGTTCGGTCCTACGTAACGTAGTCCCGTAGGTAGGCGGGGCTTCGTACTTGCCTACTTGACTTGCGCAGATTAGTTGTTGTTTGGCTCTCGGCCGGTTCGGTCGGGACTTCTGTTTCTCTTGGCCCTGTCGATGGAACCTCCTGGAAGGTGTCACTGGGCCTCTTGTTGCAGCTCCCTCCCGGTCTACCCGGGTTGGTCGAGCTGCGAATTTCGCCGCTCCTGCCTGGTCTTTCCGGGCTGGTTGGGCTGGCCTGGCTGTTCCTTCCTGGTGAGACTTCGGGCTGGCTGTTGACTGGTGAGTATTGCTGGTTATTTCCTATTTGCTCCCCTGTATCTTCCCTCCCCTCTTGGTTTGTGTTAACGGGGTCGTCTGTGTTTGGTTGCGTGTCGGTTGTGTTTTTTGTTCTTGATCTTAATTGATCGATGTGGCGTTTCCATGTTTGTCCGTCGGTTGTCTGTAGCCGGTAGGAGTGGGGTCCTGTCAGTTGGGTTATAGTTGCCGGTACCCATAGTGGGTCTCCGGTAAGGTTTTTTGCATAGACTGCGTCGCCTGGTGCAAAAACCCGGTGCTTGCTTGATGAGTCCGGGGGTTTTTCCGGGTTGTATGTGGGGTGTAGTCTGTCGAGTGGTGACCTTAGTTTTCTCCCCATTAGTAATTCTGCCGGGCTTTTGTTTGTTGTTGTGTTTGGGGTTATATGTTGTATTAGGAGCATTTTATTTATTTTTTCTTGTATGTCCCCGTGTTCGATTTTTTGGAGGGTTCTCTTTGCAAATTGAACCATCCGTTCTGCCCTACCATTGGCCGCCGGATGCGCCGTCGCTGTCAGTGCGTGTCGTATGCCTCGTTCCGCTAGGAATTTTTCGAATTCCAGCGAGGTGAACTGGGGTCCGTTGTCTGACACGATGACATCCGGGAGGCCGTGGGTTGCGAAAAGTTTGTTTAAGACCTTGGTTACCGCATCTGTTGTGGTGGTCTTCATGTTGCTTACCTCCAGCCAGTTGGAGTAAGCATCCACCGTGATGAGGAATGTGTTCCCTTTTGTGGGCCCGGCAAAATCTATATGGAGTCTCGACCATGGCCCCCTGGGCGTTTCCCATTCTAATATTGGTGCTGCGGGGGGATTTGGTCTGGTTTCTTGGCAGCGCGAGCACTTGGCTACCCAGGCCTCGATCTCCTTGTCCATACCTGGCCACCAAGCATAGCTTCTGGCCAAAGCTTTAGTCCTCACAATCCCCGGGTGCCCTTCGTGTAATAATTTTAATACTTTCCCTTGCAGTTTTTCCGGTATGACCACCCTGTCCCCCCATAGCAAGCAACCTTTCTGTAGTGACAGTTCTGTTTGCCGGTTTCGGAATGTCCTGAAAGCTTCATCGTTGTCTTTCTCTGGCCATCCCTTTTCTACCCAATGTAATACCCGCGCCAGACGCTTGTCTTTATTAGTCTCTCGGGCAATGTCTGACGCGGTTATGGGTAGGTCGGGCAATGTCTCTATGCTGAGGGTGGTCGTCTTGGGAGCTGGGTCGTCGTCTAGGTCGGGAAACGGCGAGCGGCTCAACGCGTCTGCATGGGAGATCGTCTTACCGGGTCTGTGTGTGAGCCGGTAGTCGTAGGCGGCGAGGAACTCAGACCACCTTGTCATCCTGGGGGATAGGATGTTCGGGGTGGCCTTGTTCCCCGCCAGGATGCCCAGCAGTGGCTTGTGGTCCGTGATGAGGGTGAACCGGCGGCCGTAGAGGTACTCGTGGAACTTCTTTACCGCTGCGACGATGGCCAGTGCCTCCTTATCTAATTGGCTGTAGTTTCTTTCGGGTTTGCTGAGTGTTCTTGAAAAGAAAGCGATGGGTGCTTCTTTTCCGTCTGGAAGTGTATGGCTGAGGACGGCGCCGACGCCAAATGGTGAGGCGTCGCATGTGACGGCGATGGGTAGGGTCTCATTATACTGAATGAGAACGGCATCCGAGGTGAGCAGGTCTTTGGTATTCTTGAATGCGGTGTCCTCCCGTTTCCCCCAGGTCCATTTGGCCGTCCTGTCCAGGAGCCTATGCAAGGGCTCCGCCGCGGTCGCCTTTTGGGGCAAGAACACATTGTAAAAATTTAGCAGTCCCAGAAATGCCTGCAGCTCTGTTTTGTTCTTGGGTGTGGGGGCTTCCTTTATGGCTTTGACTTTGCTTCCGGTTGGGTGGATGCCATGTCGGTCTAGGAGGTACCCCAGGAACTCGACTTGCTCTGTGCATAGCTGGCATTTCTCTTTCTTCACCTTCAGCCCGGCCCCTTTGAATTTTTCTAGCACCTCCCTTAGGTGACCCTCTAATTCCTCCTGGTTGGCTGCCGACACTAATACATCGTCAAAATAGGGGACCACCCCCTTGATTCCTCTCCATGAGGCTCTGGAAAATTCCTGGGGCCACGCTGACTCCAAACTGGAGTCGGTTACAGCGAAACGCTCCCCGGTGGGTGACTATTGTTTGCGCTTCGGCGGTTTCTTCATCGACCGGCAGTTGCTGATAGGCTTGCGCCAGGTCGAGCTTCGCAAAGACCTTGCCCCCCCCCCAGCGAGTGTAATAGGTGTTGCACTACTGGGACGGGGTAGGCGCTTTGTTGCAGGGCGCAATTGAGGGTGGCCTTATAGTCCCCGCAGATCCTTACTGACCCATCTGGCTTGACTGGGGTGACTATAGGGGTCTCCCACCGGGCGTGGTCGATTGGCTGCAAAACCCCCTGTTTGACGAGCTTGTCAATCTGCTCGTCTATTTTCTTCCGGAGTGCAAAAGGCACCCGTCTGGGTTTTAGGCGTATGGGGGCGATATTTGGGTCTAGGCTGAAGGAGATAGGGGGCCCTTTGTACTTGCCTAGAGTGCCGTCGAATACTTCTTGGAAATCCCTCGCCAGTTGCTGCTCCCAGTCGGCCTCTGTGGTGTGGTTTATTCCCGTGACCTCGATCCCGAGTGGCGCGAACCATTGGAGTCCCAAGAGGCTGGGTCGGTTCCGGTCCACGATAGTCAGGGGAAGTTTCGCGGTGCGGTTTTTGAAAGTCACCTCGAACTGTCCGGTCCCAATGACGGGGATGCGGTTCCCCTGATAGTCCTTGATGATCAGCTTCTGGTTCTCCAGTCCTCTTTTCTGGATGTTTGGCACCAGTCGCTTGAGTTCTTTCCAGGCGACCATGGAGAGGTAGGATCCGGAGTCTACCTCCATCTGGCATGGCTCGCCCTCGATGCTCACCTCCACGTAGACCTTCCGTGCATCAGTGGTTTCGGCATGGCCGATGGTGACCGTCTGGTGGGTTTCTTCTCTCTGGCGGCCTTCCCCGTTCCGTCGCCCTCGATTGTCTCGGCTCCAGCGATTGTCGGCTTGGCGATCTCTGGCCCTCGGGGGGGTGTCGTCTCGTCCCCGGTTGCTTGGTTCTCGCCGGCGGGGGCTGTGTGTCTTTCTGAGCCGGCAGACTCGGGCGATGTGGCCCTTCTTGTTGCAATGTCGGCAGATCGCGTCGATGAACCGGCATTCTGATCGAAGGTGATTTCCCCCGCACCCGGCGCACTGGTTCCCCGACTTACGACCTCGTTGATCTCGCCGGTCCCGTCCTGTTTGTAGCCAGTGGACGTCTTCCTCCTCGTCCGTGGTCTCGGAGGCGGAGTCCAGGTCCCCGTGGTGTGTGGTGGTCTCTCGTCGGCTTGCCTCAGGGGTTTCAGTGCGGTCCCCGTTCTCTGCCCTCCGAAGTCTGGCTGCTGACTTCCGGGTGGCTTCGGCCGCGGAAGCTTCGGCCAGGGCGTCCCCGAGGTCGATGTTGCCTTTTGCCATCAGTCGACTTTTTAGTGCCTGATCCCTGAGGCCTAGGACCACGCGGTCTCGGAGGACGTCGTCCAGGTCCCGGAACTCGCACATCCCCCCTAGGTCCCGCAAGGCGGCTATGAAGTCGCTGATGCTCTCGTCCTGCCGCTGGTTCCGCCGATAGAACTCATCCCGCCGGATGAGGATGGGCACAGTGGGGGCGTAGTGGTTCCGAAGGAGTGGCTCGAGATCGGCCCAGTCCATTTCCTTCACATCCTCGGGCTTCGCTAGGGCTTTGGCCATCTTAAACACCGCGGGCCCGCAGTGTGTGAGGAAAACGGCCCTTTTCTTTTGCCCGTTCGCATCCTTCAAATTGCTACTTTCGAGGAACATTAGGAATCTATCCGTGTGCGATTCCCAGTCCTCTGTAGCTGGGTTGAAGGGTGCTGGTGGGGTCATGCCGACCATCTCGTCGGTCTTTGTCTTCCTCGGGACACGTGCTCGGTGGTCAGTCTCTGTATCCCACCCTCGTCGCCAGTGTCGTGTCCGTCGCGGGAAGGAAGCTCAGAGTCAGTGACTTGGTTTCAGCTCTTTATTGGCTCCGGATACAGCTTAAACTTGGAGAGGAAAAACTGCGGCTTTTATTTTCGAGCCGCGTCGGCCGCGGCCAATGGCACCGCTTCGAATCTCCCGCGATTAGTTTCCACCAATCGCGGGGGATTCGCAACGGGCCAATCAGTGCGGCACGCTCGACCAATCCGGTCGCCGCACGCTTTAGCCAATCGCGACGCGGGGCTACGAGTATGTAAATTTACTGTACAGAACAAAAGGCTATATCCATATATTTGTGTTATTCTTTAATATCCTCTCTATTTCTGGTATAATAAACTATGCAAATTTTTTCCATAAATCTTATTTTCTTATTCTATACAGTACATGGTCCCAATATTTATGAAATTAATTTTAACTTATAGCCCCTATTGTTTGTTATTTTTTCTATATATATATATAAAATTATATATACTTTTCTATATATATAAAATTAATCACACACACACATACACATATACACAAAAACATACAAATATGGAAGCACTTGAACAATTATTTTGAGATTTATGATATTTATTACTGGATTCAGGACCTATGTAATTTATTCATTTTTGAAGATGCAATATTTCCTTTTAATGGTAAAATGATATGTTTCACTTTGGCATAGATTTCCTGATGTTCTAAAACTTTATAAGTCTTATTTTCCTGTAAACCTGTAAATTTTATATTTTGTTCAACACTTGATATGAGATTGTTTTTTTATTGTTTTTCTGTCTTATTATTTTTAATTATGTTTTTCTTTACTTTTGTTTATAATTTATTTTTCTTAATTCTTTGTAGTTATGTTTCTTTTTATACTTTTCTGTTTTTCTCTTCTTCCATCCCTAGTTTTTCCACTGATGGAGTGTCAATGAAGACTGATAGAATTGGGTTGATTCAAACTTGTCAGGGTGTAGGAGGTCTCTTTAAGGAAGTGAGATCCAGTGGCCCAGAAGAAAATAAAGGAAACTTTGTACAGATGACTTTTACAGAAACAGCCATTGTTATGGGTGCTTTTATAAGGAAGGGGTGAGAATTGATTTACTAAATCAACACTGCTTTTGAAATGCATTGTCTCTTTAAGGAGACAGTTCAGTATGTTGTGTAGAACCTTAGAAGCAAACTTCACAGAGAATCCATTAGTGAATTCTTGTTCTTTTGGTATTTTCTGTATATCTTGTAGGTTATTGTTTTTTCTAATCAAGGAGTAAAAATATTTCATGCTTGTTCAAATCTTTTTCTTATTAATGTCCGAGGAGAGAGCCACTCCCAGTTATTTGAATTCTTGGAAAAAGGCTTTTTGAAATTAGATGAATTAGATAAAAGATGAAGGCTGATCCCCCCCGCCCCCTGGTTTTTGGAGTGACAAGTCTTTGAACTCAGGAATTACATACAACTATGCATGACCCCAAAACAAACAAAATATAGGATTTTAAAATGCCCTTTAAGGAGGTTATGACTGGATTCAACCAACAGTTCTTTCTGTCTACACCCAAGCAATTTCCCTTGAGTCAGTTGAATGAGACTCTAATCCATGGGTGCCAAACTCGCTGCATCACGTTGCCATCACGTGATGTGTCACAATGTTTTTTCCCTTCGCAAAGCTGGGGTGGGTGTGGCCTGTGCCTGATGCATCTGGCCTGCCGGCTGCCAGTTTGACAATCCTGTTCTAATCAAATGTGTGTATAATGGAAAGAACTTAGTGGGCAACTATAGGATAGCACTCTTACTAACTTTGAAATACTGGTTTTCAGTGTTAGAGCAAAAATGTACTGCTTGTAATGACCCAGGGTGAGATACAAAATAAACACAGTCACAAAAACAGGCGAAGCCCCTTTTATTTCTTCACTTTGCTTCAAAGTTCCAAATATCCTTGACTGGAGACAAAAAACTCCCCCACAAGCAGTTATGAACAGGAGGAAATGCTGTTTAAACTAAAAATGCCTATAAATTATAAAGAGTAAAAACAACACAAACCACACTGAAGGAATTAAGGGAACCAGGCAAGATAAGGGCTTGAAGATGTCCACAGATATCAGAACACAGACTGGGAAGGATGCCAAACTCAGAGAGGAATGACAGACTAGAGATATTTCCACGCTTTGTTTCCAGCACTGGCCCATATGCATGTCCGTCCTTTTAACCAGTTCTCACAGCTGCAGCCCATGAAGAAGATCAAGGACCTTTCCTCCCCCATAGACCACATCATTCACATCTCTCCCTTATCTTCTCCTCCCTTCGTGCCCTAGGATGGAGAGGGGATGGGCCTGGGTCTTTCTCTGACTGCACAGCCTCCTCCACAGCCTCAGGAGCCACACTTCCATTCCCTGTTGGCTGTTCCTCCTTTCCATCAGAGTCAGACTTCAACAGGGGCATGACACTGCTTATAGATTGCTCTCTTTTGAAAACTGTAAATCGTGGATGTAGTTTCCATAGATGAAAATCCTTCCTGTATAAATATAGGTAGTCTTCGAGTTACAACAGTTCATCTACCAACAGTTTGAAGTTACAATGGCACTGAAAGAAGTGACATGACCATTTTTCACTTATGACCATTGCAGCATCTCCATGGTCACAATTTACATTCAGATGCTTGACAACTGGTTCATATTTAATGTCCTTAAATGTTTAAGCAGTTGCAGTGTCCTAGGGTCATATGATCTTTTTTTGCAAACTTCTGGCAAGCAAAATCAATGGGGAAGCCAGATTCAGTTAACAGCTGTGTGGCTAATTTAACAACTATAGTGATTCACTTAACAAATGTGGCAAGAAAAGTCATAAAATGGGGCAAAACTCACTTAGCCAATTTCTCACTTAGCAACATAAATTTGGGGCTCAATTGTGGTTGTAAGTCGAGGATGATCCTTTAGGCGGGGGATCTTCGGGAGTAAGAAAATTCTGGAAGAAAGACAATAGGAAATCCAATGGGATAGGCCCAACATGGGTTGTTTAGAATGGAATTTCTCCTCACAAAGCTGGGTATCCAAGCTTGAATACACTATGAATCTTGCAGTGGTGGCCTTATGGAAAAGGTAAGTGATTTTTCTCTGTGATATAATTTTACTCTAGCAGGAAAAAAAGAAGTTACAGGGAAGCCATCTATATTAATAAAAAAGAAAATGATAGTTACAAATAGCCGAAGTTCTATTCTCTGAAACTTTTTTTTGTTCTTCTCCGTGTGGTGTAGACCTGAGCAATTTGGAATCTTACATCTTTAGTGCATCCATGAAAAAAAAAGGAATGAATAATATTTAAAATGACTCTCCTTTAAATGTAGCAATTTCACTTACTGTCTTTAAAATTAGCCTCTTAATTTACTTTAATTTTTTGTTTTGGTTTGAACAAAATCAAGATGTTATAGTTTCTGATTGTGTTTATTTATGTGAACTGCCTTAGTAGCATTTAAGCAGAAAAGCCAGCGTAGAAGAATAAATTAGAAGAAGTGAGAAATAAAACTTTGCTCCATA